CTCACATTGACAGCTGGTCCTCTTTTACCCCAATTCTCTGCTTGTTGTCCTCTGCCATTACTTTGCTTCAGCTATGTTTAAAACTACCCCTGCCAAACCAACTCTCCTCCATCCTGGGCATCACCGATGTTGAAGTTACACTCTATAGAATCCATTGGCTTTTGTGTTTAGACAGCTTCAACTGTTGCCAACACGAAGCATTGACAGGCATAAATGCCAGTGGTCAGTTGTATAAAGTAAATCGATACCAACATAACAGCACAGTATTATGGTTCCCTGACAGAAGCTGGCCAAATGAAAAACTGGTTCTTTTTAGCTGATTTCAGGTGATTGGTGTTTGTCAAATAATTGGAACTTGATTAGATGAGTGGAAAGTATAATTAGTGACAAAGTTGGAAAGTTAGACTTTCATTGTAAACTACAGTTGGAGGTCAGTTAGAAAGACTATAATATTGGTATAGTTTATGTTTTCTTTGTGGAATTGTTTAACCATTTTGTCTGATCTGATTAATTAGTTTTAAGGAATCAATCATATATAGTACCTGATCATCAATGGACAAGTTAAGCATTGCACTTAAATGCCATTTCACACACACACACTAATCTTAATTATAAGAACAAAACTTTATTTTTAGCTTGCAAGATGAACATTTTAACAAGTGTGTTAGAAAGAACTAAACACTAAAGTTCCAAATCTATAAAGCCTCAGTTCAAAATCAAATTTATTTTCTCAGTTCTTTTTATATTTCATTTTCTCTCCTGTTCGTCTTACCGCTTATTGTCTTATCAATTATTTTTTACAACAGTAGAAATTTACAAAAGTATTCAAACATGAATGGATGCAAAGTCAATGTTTATAAAATTTAACCTAGTTAATAGATTTTAAAAAAATTAATAAAAAAGATCCAAAGACATATAGATGTGTGTTGATATTTTGATGACAGATTTATTTGACACTGATAAGTGGTGTATCTGCAAAACTTGAAGTCAATAGATAAGTTTTTGAACTTATTAGCTTGTTCAGAAAATAATGTCCAATTTTAGTAGCAAGTTTAATGCATGAATTAGTGTATTTAAACAGTATTTAAATCAATTAAAATAGGAACCTTGAATATCTATCCATTTCAGCCATCAAGTTATTTATGCCTTTACAATAATACTTGAAATATTTGGATATTGAGAACTCTTTGAATGCAGTTTCTGCATCTTCTTTCCAATGAAATGTCTTTCGGCTTAGAAATTGTCAAGATGATTAAATAAGGAGTCGTCAGTGGGTGAGAAATCAGGGGAATATGGTGAATGCTGAAAAGTCTTGTATCCAAAGTCAGTGAGTTTTTACAGTGTCATTCTGGCAACATGTGGCTGAGCATTGTCAAGCAGCAGGAGCTGGACTTTGTAGATGAAGCAGTGCTTGTTGCATTTTGCATAACTGAATGGGCATTTCATACAGCTGCTGATAGTAAACTTCAGTAGTGATGTTTGGTAAGATATCAGCTGTAATGGATAATATCAATATATTATTTTATTATTTAATTGTTGTAGCATACCTACGAATGATAATGAATATATCCCCATTCACATAAATACAGTAGTAAATACTGTATGTTGGTCTGCAGTTGGAAATTCATTGTGGAATTCACTTGACTCACTTCTAGCAGTTGACTACTTCTTCTATACACCACTGGCAAATCTTATATGTGTTGTTCTTGTCCTAAGTATTATCATTCATTACCAACTTTCATTTGATTATTCTGTTCAGTAACCTTCTCTAGGTTACAACAATAATCATAGAAAATACTTATAAAATTGATATTATTTAAAGATATAATATATATAAAAGGTTTGATTATTATTAAATATAAGTATTCATTATTAAAAATGTATTCTTGGCATACTTTTTACTATAGTACCTAAACTTTATGAATTTAAGCACAGTACTAGACTGGCAATGAGGTCTCATCAATTTACACTTGAGTTGGCTAGATGTAACCATAAGTTCTATGCTAACAGTTTCTTCTATTGCACTTGTCACTTCTGGAACTCCCTTCCATTGCCTTGCTTTCCAGTCAACTTTAATCTTCAAAATCTTAAATGCATTGTCAATCAATATTTACTGTCCTCCTGATTACTCTTCTTTTGTTCTGGCTTCTTATTAATGTTTCTTTTTACTAATTCTTCCACATCCAGTAAACCCTTGTGTTTTAGTGACTTTACCTACTTGCTGCAGTTGAACTTGATTAAAACAGAAAAAAGTAGAACATTACTAAAATATCTTTTGCTTTTTATATTAGATAACCAAAACTTATAAACATATTTCTACTGAGAAAAGTGCACAGAATATTTACTAAAATGTGTCTATACTGTTAAAAGGGATGGCCATTACTTTTTATTGTATTATTTGACCTTTATACAATGTAAGAATAAAAAAAAAAACTATTGAAATATATAGAAATTAATTTACAAAATGAAGAAATTAAAGTTGCATGTAAAATTATAACTAATTTCATTCCAATATTTTACTTGAATTTTTGAATTTTAGTTAATTATGTGATTTATTAGCAAAAAAATATTTAAATTATTCTATCTGGATTTTTCAGAAGTTGCATATGAAGGTTCAAAATTGCAGCTTTTACTTATGCATTGTTTAACATTCTCTCACTTCTAAATTTGCGACGGTGTTTTATTTTTAAAAATTAACAAATAAAAAATTCATAAAGATTTTTACTTTACATTCTTGAACTACCCTGTGCAAAAAAAACTATATTCTTTTAAGTTCCAGACAATACAAAACAGCATGAACACAACAATCAAACAGCAACAAACCAATTCAACTAGAAAAATGTTTACAATATAATTTGTTACAGAATCTTTACATTAGTATTTTTTAGTGTAAATGAAAATAATTTTCTGTAGAAATACATGAGAAAATGATTTTGTATTGAAATGCTTATCAAATTACTTTTCATAGAAATTTAATCCAATTTTCAATTGCTATTAATTTATATTAGAATATTTTTGGTATAAAGCTAAGCAAAATATTAAGAAACAGGGAAATTTCATTAGAAACAAGGAAAAGAAAGAGTGCTGAACTGTTACATAATATCAGTTCTCCTATATGGGAGTGAATACTGGAAAATCTCCACAAAAGTTTACAAAATTGTGGTTCGACAGAAGAATAATGAGAATTACATGGACAAAACAAGTGAACAATGACAAAGTTTTAGAGAAAATGAAATAAAAAACACACTTATGCTTAACTTCAGAAAAAGGCACTTGAAATTTCTAGGGCACAAATAAGGAAAGAAGGTTTGGAAAATTTATACTCACAGGATATATCGAAGGCAAGAGGGACAAAAGAAAACAATGCATAATCTACTTGGTGAACTTGAGTAAATATAATGGTTTAGTAGAGATAACAAAAAGACAAAATTTATTAAGGACAGCAAATTGTGGAGCGCCATGATCATCAATGTAGAAGAAGATGTCAATTCTAATTTTCTAAACTTAAAATATTCAAATAAAAATATAAAGTGTTATTAAAAATGTAAACAAAATGGAAACTTATGTTTAACATCAGAAAGAGATAGTTGAAATTTCTAAGGTACATAATGAGGAAAGAGGACTTGGAAAACTTGATACTCACAGGGCATAGTGAAGGCAAGAGAGATAGAGGAAAACATTGTATAACCTACTTAATGAGCTTGCATAAATGGATGAGAGAACACTGTTTAGAAGAGATAAGAAAAAGACAGAATTTACTGAACATTATAAAGGACAGGAAATTGTGGAGAGCCATGTTTGCCAATGTTTTGAAGGGACATGGCACATAGAAGAGGAAGGTTACCTATTTGAGCTTTGCACATACCTAGATTATGAGTTTTTCAAGATTCACATAATGCCTTAGAAAGTCATAGAAACATATTTATTCTGATATTTTATGCATTGGTTTTCTTGCACTATCAGATGTTAGCATATATAAGCCTAAATTTCTTAGAAATATATTCCAGATGTTTTGTACCAAATACAAGTAATGTCTAAAATAGTGATAATGAATTTTTCAACTTCTCAAAAAACATGTTTGATCAAATAAATGTTCTTTTGGGAATTTTTATATAAGTTTAATAAGTTTGAAATGGATAGATGTTATATGCCAACAGTTTCTCCTCTCGCACTTCTTGCCTTTGTGGAACTCTCTTCCAGTTTTCTGCTTTCCAGTAAACATTTGATCTTTGAAAATGTAAATCTAATGTCAATTGTTATCTTCTGTATTCTTGATTCCTGTTCTTTTATTGATCTCTCTCCTTGATAATGTTTTCTTTTTCTTATATTCTTTCACACTTTTTTATTTAAAAAATAATAAGCATTCTATGTCGTGTAATTAAAGGAAATTATTTAATCAAGCCAGCACTTGTATTTGATACCCAACTGTGCCAAAAGCAATGATCAACCCTTTACTCACAGAAATTGTGCAAACAAAATGCTTCACTGCTCTTTTAGGATTCATGATGCAAAAACTTGTGTTTTCTAATTCAAGCTTTTAACTATTGAGCTCTCACCAGAAACTTGTAGTTTACCATTCTTTTCTCAGCAGAGCTGATGATTGAATCTACAATTACAACTGAAACAAAATATCTAATAAGCTATAATGCATGAAAACTCACTCGGTCAAACAGTCATTAGTTACAAGCCACCCTGTGGACATAAACTTTGGGCAATAGTTCCATTGGTTTTCTTATTCTATCAGTGTTAAAACGCAGGCTTGCATTTCAAAAGTTGTCAGTTGATCAAGCATGCTATACTGAATTTCATTGGCCAGTGGCAGGAATTGAATAGAATTTCAGAACTCATAGCAGAACATTTTAAGTGATCTTATACATATGCATTCAACAGATATTTTCTTGTGTCATTGTGTAAGGTGGTAGAACAATACATATATAGACTTTCTTTTCTTAGGGCAATGATTTTTCTTGCTTTTTTTTTGTTTTCTTACATCCTTCTAGATTTGTTTTCTTTAATTGTTTATTTTTTTCTTTCTTGATTTTCTCACTTTCTTTTTCTTTTCATCATTTGTTTCTCCTATTGTATAAACCTTATTTTTCTTTCTTGATTTTCTCAATTTCTATTTCTTTTCATCATTTGTTTCTCCTATTGTATAAACCTTATTTTTCTTTCTTGATTTTCTCAAAATTTCTTTTTCTTTTCATCATTTGTTTCTCCTATTGTATAAACCTTATTTGCTTGCTTATCTATTTATATATTGTTTTCATTTTTCTCATTTGCTTTCTCCTTTTCTTTATTATTTTTCTTTTTTCTATTTATGTCTCTTTTTTTTCTGAACCATCTCTTTGAATTTATCTTCATCTATGTTTTATTTCCTTATGGTTATTTTATAGAAATCTGTATCTCAAATCAGAATTGTTTACTGCTAGTGTAAACCCAATCCATTCAAATTTTTAAAGTTTCATGATCATAAAATCCCATCAAAAGATTAACTCTCTTTCAGCTAAATTTTATTATCTTGTATCAGACTATTCTTGAATTAGTTACATAAAAAAGTAATATTCATTAATATCCATAATTGATTGCAGAGATCAAATATAACTACTTTCTCTCTTGCTGTTTACTCATTTTGCCAGAATTCTTTTGTGTTGAAATGCACTTTTTAGTGCAAGTTTTATCAGCAACCAGGGTCAGTGCAAGTGTCTCATAGCACTGCCCAAATGTATGATAATTGCCTCACCTTCTCTACTACATCTCAATTTTCATGAGGTAGTATTCATATAAAATACAAATTTTATTTTAATCTAATGGATCATATGCAATATAGGTGTACAATTGAACTTGAAACATTGAAAATAAATAACAATGTATCTAAATAGAAATTAAAGACATGTCATAATTGATTATTCCATCTTAAATAAGTCAACAATGTTTTGCAGCAATTTTTAACATTAACTTGAGATTTTTCTTGTTAAAAAGTTGAATAATTTTAACATTCAACATTATGGATAAAAAATAGTTAATTTTATAAAGTGATTTTTGAGACTTAGCATGAGCAAAATAAATTCTTAGATTTGGACAAAAAAGGAACTCAGAATCAAAATTTGTGAAAATCTTTTCATCTTTTAATAGTCAGTTTTGCTTAGTTGATTTTGCAATGTATACAAATGTAGGTAGACAAATCAGATGTTGATAAGATAGTTAGGGTCATAAAGCCCTGACTGGAGCCCACACTCAGGTTTGTCTCCCAATCATGAGTTTGAGAGTAGTATGAACAGGCACTGTCAACAACAATTTAGTTCACAATATAATTGTTAATACCTCCTCAAGAGAAAGAAAATTAATGCGAAAAGAACTGACATTTCATACTGTATTTCTTTATATATGTCTTTGTCTTTATAATTTTTTTTAACTTTCATACAGTCATGTCTCACTCCAACTTTACAAAAATTCTTTAATAAATTTGTATATTTATATGTAATATTTTTTTATGATCATTTCACCCCAAATAAAACAATAAGATACAAGAGAATATGAGATAAAAAAAAAAAACACTATCAAGGAGAAAGAAATCAATAAAATAACAGGAATTAAAACAAAACATCATGATTGACATTCCATTTAAATGTTTGAAGATCAAACTTGACTGGTAAGAAAGAAGCTTGAAGAGAGTTCCACAAGCAAGAAATATAATAGAAGAAACTATTAGCATAGAACTTATCATTACATCTAGCCATTTCAACTGTAAAATTATGGGACCTTGCTTCCACTCTAGTACTATGCTTAAATTCATAAAGATTGGTTCTCATAAAGAAAAGTTCATCTGAACAATTACCATGAAAGTATTTATAGAAAAGGCACAAAGAAGCTATGTTTTAATGGTGTGAAAGTTACTTAAACCGATATGCCAGGTGAGAAAATATTGAAATATTGTCTAGCACAACACAGTGAATAAACTCTTCTCACTGTAGAACTAGCAATTGATTTAATATAATCTTTCCACTTCATGTCAGTGAAAAACTCTAGTCCCTGAATGGGCATTCATCTGAACATTTAGCTGAATAATGTTCATTTTTTACAATTCATATTCACTACTGAATTAAAGGCATTGACAAGAAATTATATTGGAAAATAAATATTTATTATGCAAAATAAATAATTTTTTAATCAGCTATGGATTTATAGATGTGCCTATATAATAGGAGCGATCTCATTGCAAAGGGATAGTTTTATAAAATAGTTGTAACAGACAAAGTTATATTTATAAACCTGAATTTTCTAGTTGAATTAAAATATATGATGTCAAGAAAATAAACAGTTGTTTTTGTTCTTTTTGCTTGTTTGGAAATGTTTAAATCTAATTACATTCAAGTAGATTTTGACTGAAAGTGGACTTCACTATAGAAAAACTTTTTCTATTTTAAGAATATTTTTAAGTTGTTTTCTTTTGTCCAAAAGATTCTCCTTCTAGATGTAGAAGATTACAAAATGCTTCATTACCATGACTGCTAAAATGCAACAGACATAATTTAATTAAAATATTAAATATATGTAGTAGTGAATCATTTTTTTTTTCCTCCTTTTATGTTGTGGAGCTTTTCATTTTCAGGTGGCCTTCTGACTTCACAAATGGAAGAAAGAACAAAGTTTTGTAAAATAAGACATTTTGTTATACCAAAGTTTTAGAACAAAGTTTAAAATTTTGTTCCTTGATAATATAGTCTTCTTTCTTTTTTTTTTAACAATGATGCTCACCCTATAAAGGGCCTGAGAGTGACACAAGGTAGAGGTTTACAGAGTAAGAGGCACAGTTTATGGAGATATGTGGGGAAGTAATGGTTAACCCTAGACTTGAACAGGCCAAGATTGCAGTGATTGGGGAAGCAGACCATCTGAAGTCGGTTCCACAAAGCAGTGATTTATGAGAAGAAGCTACTCAAGTGGAACTTACATCTCACCAGTGAAATACAAAGAGAATGAGAGTGGTTTGCTACAATGTGTGTAGCATCATGTGTCTTAGCCGTGAAAGTTAGAATTGTTGGAAACAAGGAATAGTTGTCAGAACACTTCCCATGGAATTAGTGACAGAGCAATGAAAGGCTTACAACATTTCATCTGTGAGAAAAGGGTTTTCAGGTGTAAAATAACTTGTCATCCACAAGGAGGTGGGGACACTTTTGGACCTAATCAAGACTAGAAAGTAAAGACTTCAAAAGACTTTATGTACATGCATTTATATGTAATTATAAGCAATTTTTTCTTTGTGTAGAAGAAAAAATAAAATGTGACTGATTAGGAATGTTTCCTTATCTATAATTAAAAATCACATGAGTTGATATCATATGGATATCCTCTATGTTGTATATGTGAATGTCTTGAAAGGCAGGGAATGAACTGCTCACTCTTTCTCTCTTTTATGTGTATCATAGGTATATAATTTTTTGTGGATGTAGTTGTAGACTTGTCGCATAAAATTAATTTTAGATTTTTAGTGTGCTAGCTGAAAGTTATTATAATTTAATGCTTATAGGTGTTAGAAAGATGAAACTTTGCAGCTTAATAAGATGATTAAGTTTTAAATGATATGCAAACTTTATCTTTTTATATAAAATTTAGTCAGCTTATAAATTATAAGCTGACTAAATTCTACTTTAAGTTGATTCTGTCTTTGCTGAAATATTGCATTTCATTAATATGTAATACAATATTATAAGTTTTATTCTGTTTGACATTGGTCAACTTATAAAATGTTTTAAGGATGCCTTTTATGATTTAAGTGTATGAAATTTACTTGTTTTATCAAATTGTAATTTATATAGATTTTCATGATTATTCATGATACACATTTTATAAACAGTACACTCACATTTTTAATATTTTTTACCTTCTTCTTTATTCTTTTTTATTTGCTATAAGCAGTATGGATGAGAAACTTGAAAATTTGTAATTTGTAACAAAATTTTACTTAGATTTCTAGCAGACAGAAACAACTAAATATTTCAATTTATGAAAATAATAAGTCATATTCAAGTGACAAAATGATTTTTAAGAAGTTTTAATATCCCTCTGTTTGATGGAAGATGTGACACCAAAATCCTAGCTCATTTTGGATTTCCAAAAGCTAAACAAAATATGAAGAAACAGGAAAAATCCATTAGAAATAAAGAAAAGATTGCTGAGTTGCTGTAATATCAATCACCTTGTATGGTAGTGAATGTGAAATAATCTTCCTCTAATGACAAAAGTATGCAGATGTAGGGTTTAAGAAAGCTTTATTCAGCTGAGAATACAAGGTTTGTGTATTGTGTCCTTTTATAGTCCCAGTAAACAGAAATAGCTCTCTCAAAGAGGAGAGTAACAAAACAAGGGGAGACTACTCTTGATTATTCATAACGCTTCCTACAGATGAGTAGAAAACCAGAGTTAACAAATATATCATTCTCCAGAAGGTTACTGAGAATTCTGTGGACAGTGCCAATAAATAACAAGAAAGTCTTAAAGAAAATGATAACAAGTACACTTAAACTCAGAATCAGAAAAAGATAGCTGAAATTTCTTGGGTACATAAAACTTGAAACTCGGCTTGGAAACATTGACAAGGTATATTAAGGGCACGAGAGATATGGGAAGGCCATGAGCCACCTACTTGATTAGCTTCTTTGAATGGATGGCTGAAAGGGAGCACTGCTAAGGGTCACAAGAGATAGAAAGTTATAGAGCTATGATTGCCCACATCCTGAAATGACATTGCCCATAGAAGAACATAAATAATCTAAGTTGCAAGATGTATATTCCTTGCTGAATAAATTCTTCCTGTTGTTAGTTGTGCTGACCATGATGGATAAATGAAAGAATTTCACCATGTTCCAGCAGCATTCTGCAACATAATGTTCACTGACACCTAGCCAGTCAGGGGCTTCTTGAGAATTATGTTTTTATCTTTTAAAGAAGGACATTGATAAAGAAGAAATTGATAGTAAAAAGAAAAAGAAATGATAAAATAAATCAGTCTATTCTTACCAGATATGAGAAGTAAATTGATCAAACTTCTAACACTTAATATTATTTTGTTTATTGTCAGGAATATACAGGATGTCCATTAAGTTACAATTTAAAAAAAATATTACAAAGGCAAATGAACAGACAGATATATGGAAATTGTTACAAAATGAGGAATAGATATTGATTTTTTTTTAACTAATTTAATACACCTCTATATCA